AATTATAAAAGATTTTACCTAATTAAGATTTTATTAAGAAAAATCTTAAATTAGTATTATAGTCTGGTTTATTAGTTTTGCCAACAAAATTATATGAGTATTAGATATATTGAAGATATATAATTAGATAATTTAAATAATAATATTTCGTTACAAATGATAATAGAACAAAATAATAGATTAATTAAGTTATAACAAAAACTTTGTAAAAAACATAATTATAATCAATTAAAAATTATAAACGAAATTTGACATATAATACTAGATAAAGTCAAGTAAATAGCCATTATAAAATATAAATAAGAAAATATTATAAATAATTACCCTTACCCTTATAAAATAAATTCACCATAAAAAATGATACCCACTTTTCAAATATAAAATACGAATTTAAGGTTTTTATTTTTTTTTATTTTTATAAATAAAATTTTAACTAAATAAGGTTATTTTAACTAATTTATAATACATAGAGCATCTCCAACGGTGAACAAAATTTTTCACCAAATTTGAGTAAAAAAAAGTCAATTTTCTCAATCTGATATGGCTTGCTCCAACCGTGCATCAAAAGGGAAGGGTCGACCGGTGGGTCAACTGGTAAGTCTAAATTTTTTTTTTTTTTTTACCTGTTTGAACCTTTTTGACCGGTTTGAACCTACTTATTTGAAAGGGAACCGGTCGACCGATGGGTCAACCGGCCGGACATTCGGTTGGTTGACCGGTTGGCCCACCCCAACGGGCAAGCACAGTGAAATAATGATATACAGAGTTTGTCCTCAGTTTGATGAAATGTTTGTTCCATTCTCATTTTGATATATATCAAATTGGTAAAACCATTGGAGCTTGAAAAAGTCACTTTTTCATCAAATTTCAAATCTGATGCATGGTTTGATGCACCGTTGGAGATGGTCTTATGGGCTTACATTTAATTTATATCCTTTCAATAACTAAATAAGTTTGAATTAAATACTTAGGGACTTAATGGATTGAATTGATAATTTAGAAATTAAATAAACTTTGATTTATATATTTTAAGAATTTAATAGACTCAATTTAACTATAATTTAGAAATATAAGTGTAATAAACTCTATCAGGTAATACTTCAAGAAAATCTATTTACTTTTCTTTTGTGATATAAATTAGAATTATTTTTTTTTTTACCGTCCACTGTGTTATAGTTACACAAATCAATCTTGGCTATTAATTTGTGACATGATCACGTGAAGGTCTCGTAAATGCATTGGTTATTAATTTGTAGCATGACCACGTGAAGGTCTCCTAGCTTATAATGAATAATTACTCCAAACTTAGGAATAGCTACTTGGAATGAAAAAAGGATAGGAAAATTATTACACTTAGGGGTTATTTGAGATGATTTAAATAAATATATTTTTTGATTTTTTTTTTATAAAATTATGCAATGTGATAGAAAAGTAATACAAGTTAAATAAGAAGTAATGTGACTCAAATAAAATAAAAAGATAATCTAAAATGAATAACTTGAATGGTACTCTTACAAAATTATTACATTTTAATAAAAAAAAGTTTAAAATTTTAATTATGAATAAATTATAAATACATCCTGAAACTTATTGAAATGATATTCAGTGGTGGTAGCGATGTTCGCACAATTAACTCAAAAAAAAGAAAAAAAAAAGAAAAACCATATGTTCATGATCGATGAACATCAAATGTGTATGATTTTGAGCTGATTCACTGATCCGGTAAAAGAAGAGGTGAGTCTTTAATGACACGTGGTGTCATCTAAAGACCCTTAGGCCATGTTTGTTTGGGCGGACTGGATTAGCATTCCCATGATTAATAGTCCTAGGACTATAAATTTGTTGGATTATGTATCCTATCTTAACTAATAGTCAAGTTTAAAATAATTAATTCCTACTTCAATTGTTTAACCAAACATCGGATTAATAATTTTATTGGACTATTAGTCCAATCCCAAGCTCATGTCTACCCAAACAAACATGACCTTAGATGATTTATCAGTACTCTCTTTTCTTGGAATATAATACAATCATAACAGCATAAGAATAGATAGGGATTGAGAGGTGAGACTTTGAGGTTGCTAAATATTGCCAACCTCGTCTTTGTCTTAGCATGTTTTTTTTTTTTTTTTGATAAATTATAAATACATTTTTAAGATTGGTTTAAAATACAGATTGTCTTTTATGATTTAAAAAATTATAAATATTCTTTCGGTAGAATTTTTTATTTAATAGAATTAACTAAAAATAAAATTCTTAATTACTTTCCTATATAATAATAAAATTATCTGAATTATTAATTAAAATATATTTCTAACATCATTAAAAATTATTAATTGACTTGATGATTTATTAATAAAAAAGATCATTTATCACGAAATTAGAAATCTTAAGGAGTGTAATGTAATTTCTAAAATCATATAAGGTGATTCGTATTTTAAGCCAACCTCAAATAATATTTTTGTAATTTACCCTTTTTTTTATTTATTTATTTATAGAGAAACTCTAATATGGGCTAATTAGCAATGGTGAGCTACACAATTGGGTTGAGCCCAAAGGCTCTTCTAGCCTAGTTAGTTAGTTATATATCTATCAAAAATTATTTCATGGGCACTTGGGCCAAAACTCTAAGTTTGAATTTTTCTTGCCCAAAGGTTCAGGCGCTAATTTATTTTGTTCATAAGAACAAGTTATCATATAATGACCAAAATATCCCTCCACTTTTGCCTCTCGCTTTTATTTCTTCATATATCCTTACCTTTTTCTCTCGCTCTCGTTATTGCAAACTTACAAATCGACGTCCTTGATCTCTTCGCCGCTACTCCTTGCTTTGTCGCCACTATATGACCACTATCAACGGACCACACCTTCGTTGCAGAGTTCATATTAGCTTCGTCTAATTTATCAGATTCAAACCACTCCATGCCACCCCAAACCCTATCCTATTCTCCTACAACCTTTTCTCCTCCTCTTCTGCCCCCATCTCCATTGTCCGTCACTCCTCCATTAGCCTTAACTCCCACTTCCTTTCTTGCTCTTGGATTTCTCTCATGCTCTTCCTCGTTCTCTCCTCAAGTCTTATCATTTGAAGCCACACTACTCTCATCTACTTCGTTGTTGCCCCCTCGATATTAGATTTGAGTGACAAAACCCTAGCCTTCACCGTTGGAAGGCTACTGCCAAAACCCTAGCCTTTGCAAAAAGGATGTGTTCTTCAAATCTCTTTGTACTTGCTCAATACCTGAAAATTCGAAGTCATTGAAGCTTTCGGTTCTAGAAATAATATTGTTTGAAACCGATCTTCGAGCCCTTGTGTGTGGTTTATATGATAAGCTCAATAATGAGGAGTTAAATCAAATCTGAACATACTACTCCCAATGTGAGATCTGAGTTCAGCTTCGAAAATCTAGACATTCCGAAGTGGTGACGAGGACAAATCTGCACATTTCAAAGACAGATCTAGACATTTCGAGATAGACTAATTGGATGATGATGATCGAGCTATTTTTTATCTGTTCAAAAATTTATTTTGTGTTTTTTTTATCTATTTTTTATCCAAAAAATTTGAACAGATAAAGGTTTGGTTTGGCTTGGTATTGCAATAGATAAAAACATATAAAATTTATTCTTCTGGTGATCAGATGATGATGGTGATGATAATGAAAGAAAGGGAGGAAGAGAGAGAGAGAGAGATTTGTTAGTGTGTTGTTGTTGCATTGGATAATTCCAATAGATTGAAAAAAGTTTGTGAAATTTTAAACAAATAGATCAAACCTTTGTATTTTTTAAACAGATAAAGAAAGAAACTCACATATTTTAAATAGATTGAGAAAAAGAAATCCACAAATTTTAAACAGATAGGGAGAGAAACCCACAGATTTTGAATAGATAGGGAAAAAAATTCAACAGATAGATATAAATTTGAACAGATAGAAAATAATTTGAATAGATAGATATAAATTTGAACAAATAGTCAACGAAAAGTCAATAGATAAAACAAAAATCAACAATTAAAAGGTAAAATTGAAAACAAAATGTCCTCCAAAATTAATGAAAGGATTTCTCACCAAACTATTTCACAAATGCTAGACCTTTCACTAACAAAAAATACTCAATAGATCTAATACCTTATACCTTCCTTAGATTGGATTTTGCAACAATTTTCTCTTATTTCATTTCTCATAACGAAAAAAAAAAAAGTTTATTAAAATAAGAATAAAAAGCGTACATCGTTTGCAAATATTAAGGTGGAAAAAATAGGGGAAATTGAAAAACAAAAAATTCAATTTAGTGCATACTTTATCAATTTTAATAATTAAATCATAAAATTTTTCATAAATTCGCAAATATTTTGGAAAGATTTGTAAATTCTCAAAGTGTATACTTCATCAATTTTAATAATTAAATCATAAAATTTTTCATAAATTCGCAAATATTTTGGAAAGATTTGTAAATTCTCAATAATAATAATAACAATAATAATAATAATAATAATAATAATAATAGGAATAACAAAATAGCAATTTCTCTTGCATTTGTTTCATTTGAGTGATTTTGTAAGTAATAATTCTTCCCTTTTTTTTCATTGATACTTTGAAAAATATAATAGAAATTAAAAGCTTGTGTTTCATTGACAGATTTGTGAAGGAATTTGAAAAGAGAAAGCGAAAAAATATGTGAAATTAAGTAAAATATAGATATATTTTATTCACATTTTACTTAATATTTTTTTAAAAATTCTTAATCCAAACACACCGTTAAAAAAAAAACAACAACAAAAAAAAAAAAGAAAAAAAAAAAGAAAAGAAGTGTAGTGATTATAGGTGGGTGATGCTTCATGCAATCCTTACTCCCGTCTGACTGCCCGGATCACTTGGATCCGAAGAAGGAGAGGAAGCCGAAGCCTCAAAAAGTCCAAAAACACAAATAAAATATAAAAAAACTAAAATAAATGACAAGTCTCCAACGGTCGAAAAATTAATAAATCCCCTCCCCTCAACGGCTCATTGTCTCGCTCTCACCACTAACGTTTCCCCTCTCTCTCCCTCTCTCTGTTCAATTCTGTGTTAGCTGTGTTCTATACAATCTCTGTATTTATATATATACATACATATAGATCTTTGTGAATTCTGTTTTGAACAACAGTGTTCTTGTTCAGCTCTCTCTATCTCTGTGTGGGTGTAAAATGGAGCCAGCCAAGATCGATTGGAAAAGCATAAATTCGGTATTTGTAGAGGACGATCTGTATGAGCACATCAATGCTCCCAAATGGTTAGATTTCTCTGCTCCAGATCAATCTGTTGATGATGAAGCTTGGTTCTGCAGACCTGGTATGATACCATATATCTACCCATTCTATACCAACATTTTAGTTTAGAATTTAATTCCCATGTTTTTAATCACGCATTTTCGTCATCTTGTTGTTGCAGATTGCAATCATCCAAAGACAGTTGAAGATTTCCTCAAATCCACACCTCCTTCAAAGGTTCCAATTCTTGAATTTCTTGTACAATTTTCGTCTGTTCCTGTTTGGTTTCCAAGAAAATGCAGGAAAAGAGAAGAAAATGCCCAGATTCGTCTGTTTGGTTTTTCAGTTGACTTGGGGCAATGAAAATTCCACTGAACTGAGGCAACTATGAAAAGAGGAAAATTTTGGGTTCAAAATTCTTCTTTCTTTTCTTTTCCTGCACTTTGCCAGCTACCAAATAGTGGATTAATGCTCTATTGTAACTCTCTGGTTTTTTTAATTATTCCTTTCTTTTTTTTTCTTTTTTTTTTTGGGTTCTGTGAAGTTTCAGAGGTCAGCTAGTGTTTCTGAGATCCTTCCACTTGGTGATCGAAGTAGAAGGTACTAACAAACCACTTGATTTTTAACAATTAAACCCAATTCAGTTTCTGCCTTTTTATGCTGAAAAGCTCACTCTAATTTTTTATCCAGAGATGCTAATTTGAAGAGAAGAGGACTTGTTCAACCTTCAATTTCATCTAACAAAAACTCCGAATGTGAGAGATTTATTGAAGATGGAGAGAATCAAAACCCTAATTTCTCTACTACTCCAAGTCGCCAGTACAACATCATGAAAGCAACAATCAAATCAAGTGCAGAGAAGAAGCAGATTGATAATTCTGTGCAAAAGGAAGAGATGCCACGGCTGAAAAGTACGTTATCAGCACGAAATCTGTTTGGAGGACGCGATATAATGAATCAGATATCGGAATTTTGCAACGAGTTGAAGAGATTGGCCATGAGGACAAAAGAAAAAGAGAATTCGGAGAGATCAAATGTGAAGAAGAGTCCGGTGGTGGTGAAGAAACAAGAGGGAAAAGAATGGGGTGGTGATAATTTGGGGGAGGTGGTGGATGAGAGGGAGAAGGAGAGGAAGCCATTGCTTGAAGTAAGCAAAGAGAAATGTGAGACTATGCAGAAGAGCACTGTCAAGGAGAAGTTAAGAAGGAAGAAGTAAGTCCCTCTCTCATTTCAACAATAACACAATTCATGATGCATCTAAAACTTGCAACACACACACCCCCCTATAATTTGAAGACTGTTTTAGTACTTTAACCAAAATATGTTCAATTTCCACAAATGAATGAAGGTTGATAAAATTGATGGTTATGATGTACATTTTGTTTAATTTGGAGTGGGGTACATCTTGGGGAGAAACTTGTAATTGAAAACTGAAAAATAGAATGCTCTTGACTATTATCTGGTTGATCACATTCCAGAGTATTTTGTAGAGTTAAGGAAAAATGAATGGTTGTTTGATGATTTTAATCACAATACCTTAGAATTAAAGCTTTCATCGGTCCATCTCCATCTGCATGATCTTGAATAATTATAATGGAACTCACTTGGAAAACACTCAGCCCTATATTCAGGCGGTTTAAATGATAGAAAAAATTCAATTCATCTGCACAAATGTATATGATGTATATATTGTTGTTGCATGGAGATCCTAATAAGAAGAAAAGGAGTCATTGGGGGGTACACATTATTTTCAATCTGTGCAAGCGGTCATGATTATGTGATTAGTACCTACCAAAAGAGGATTATCTTCTGTCAAAGTCTTTTACAATGAACTTAGCCCAGCCTGCACAAAGCCCTACTTAAACAAAGATAATAGCTAGTAACTACCGATTGAGGATCGCTTTTCTTTCTTTCTCTTTCTTGTAGGTGATTGAATTTTTAAGTATGTTGTGCAGGAGAGCTGATGAGCCAGAAAACATTCCAATCTGTGTGGATTTGAAGAATGTAAAGCGCAAAGAGGGGGAGAATTTGTTGCAAATTCGAACCTGTCCCCCCTCTCCTCAATGTTTTTCGGCTACTCATGGACCCGGCAAATCTGTCCCTCCCAAAGCTTCCAGACCCAGGCCTCTGCCGGTATGCAGTGAATAGGCTCCCTCTTTTGTTTTGTTATTCTTTGTTGTGTGCTTGGGTCAAAGGAGGATAGGAAAGGAAGATTAAATAATTGACAGAGCAGGAAATGACATAGTTACACATAAAATATTGTTTGGCATGGTTTTCGTTGTCCAAATACATAGAAAATACCTAGTTTTTATGAAACACCAAACAGTTTTCAAAATGATTGGTGTTTTCAAACTTTATATTGTTCTTGTTTCTGAAAACACACGCACACACGCACACACGCACACAAAAACAAAAACAAAAACAAAAACAAAAACAAAAACGAAGATAACAAAAATAATACAGAACAGGCCCAACTATTCATTTGTTTGAATTTTCAAGGAAGATGCTCTGATATCATATTCTAAGAAAGATCAAACTGATAGAGTACACATGATCACTGACAATTTCTTTGTTTGAACCTTTTAAGAAGGGGAATTTATATATGGTGTTTCTAGTCTATTTGCTTGTGGTAGACGCTCACTTTTTTATAAGTTCACACTAGGTGACGGTCAAAATTTTTATTTCACATACTTGGACTTTTGCTCAGTAATGATATTTACCTTGTTTATCAGGAAAAAGGAATTGTTACATACCTGGGAAAGTCGTTTGCACTGTTTAGAAATGCTTTTAAGCTTTTAAATACATAACAAAACAGAATCCAGAGTGAAAATGCTTTTGAACTTTTGAAATTGCTTTTGGTGATTCTCACTATGGTAATGATTTGAGTTGTGCGCTTATTTTAGCACAAGCTTTTTGATCATTTACCCTTTTCTCCTTGCATTTTTCTTTTTCCTTTATCCATAGGCAATCAAGATGTGAATAAGCAGACTTCAATTATCTCTGCCTCTCTTGAATTAGGCAGAACTTTTTTCCGGATCATTAAGAAATTATGTAGTACAAGAAGTTCACCACAAAGAGAAGGAAAAGAATATTAACCCCTAGAAATAAAAACCAAAAGAGTTCCCAAAAAGAGGAGAAATAACAAATCTCTGCAATCTCTTATACGTTGGACTTCAAAAAAGTTCTAGTATTCCTCTCCAACCAAATTACCCAATATTTGTGTTCCCAACGTGACCCAAAATGCTCAAGCCCTCCTGTAGTAGTATGCAACACCCTTAGATTCGAGTCGCTACTTCGCTCAATATGCGAGGTGGTTGCACACATCCAGGGTTTCGTTAACCTATTGGCCCAATAAATTGAAGAGATATGACCCAAAATGTTCAAGCTCAATTTACCAGTAGTGGTTGACTTGATTCCTAATTGGCTTACATGATATCCCACATCGATGGAAACATCAATATTTGCAATTCTTTTTTTCGGCAAATGCTAACAAGTGCACCATAGGCATTGTTTAATGTTGGAAAGTTTGAAAAAAATGTCTTGAAAATATGTGAAAATGTTATATAGTGTATTGATTTTCGTACAAATGCATTGAATTTTGTGATTTTTTGGAAGATCCTTTATATTTTTTGGAACAACAGTATTTACTGATTGCTGTTTGTGTAAATTGTTGATCTATTAGGAAAGGGGAATCCTTCAAGAGCTGGAGCAGAGCAATACGGAGTTAAGAAAGGAGGAACCTGCAGACGATAATACTCGTGTAAAAAGTGCTTCTATTGCTGCAGAAAAAGAAGCAAGAACTTTGGATGTTTTCTGGTTTTTAAAGCCTTGCACTCTTTCTACCTAAAAACACAGTAATGCAGTAAGCTTTTGAACCTCAAAACTCAATTCTTTCAATTCATTTTTACCCTTAAAACTTATCTGTTTCATTCCATTGGTAGTCTCCATCATTCGTTCATATTTCTTCTTGTTAAATTAGAACATTTACATTCGTTTTTTTTCCGATTCATTTGGTCTCGAGAAGAAAAACTGTAATTAAGATATCTAATTGCTCTATAATTGTACTCGAAACCAAGTTCAGTGAATAAAATGTTATAGTTTTACCTCGATAATTTGTGGCATTTTTTTTTTTTTTAAATTTCTCCAGTCTTATTGGTTCAATGGTAAAACTAGGAGTGTAATTCCGGCCCGGCCCGGCCCACCCGGGACTCGTGGGCTCTAGCCTTATTTTCGGGCCGGGCCGGGCTAGGAGCCCGGGCCCAGGCCCAGGCCCACTCAGATTAGGACTAAGCCACAGGCTGAGCTTCTTTATTTATTTATATGTTACATATATAGATTATTTATGAAGGGTAAAAAAACAAAAGAAAAATTGTATTAGAGTATTTTAGTTAAGATTAATGAGATGTTTGGTTATGATCAGGAGTGTAAAAAGGGCCTGTGGGCAACCTGCACCTGCTCGCTACCTGGGGTGGGCCCAGGGGGGCCTGGCCATCATTTTGAATCTCGGCCTGGCCCATGGCTTGCTTAAGGCCCAATATCTTTTTTAGTAGGAAATAATAACATTTGGTAGAAAAAATAAAAAAAAAAACAAAAAAAATGTTCAGGCCCACTCGCCCAGCTTGAGCTCAACCCGTCCAAGGCCCGAATATCCCCTGGGCTTGGGCCTAATTTTTTGGGCCGGCCTAGCTTGGCCCGAATTTTGGCGAGAGCTTGCGAGGCCCAACATTTTGTTTTATGTGTAGTGGTAGTTAAATTTAATTATGTATGACTTATGATTTGTTGGTTATAACTAAAAAAGTATGAAATTATGTAATTTTGTTCTTTTGAAATGAATAATTTTATATTCAATATATTACAATCATTAAATAAAATAGATGTAAATTATTGATGATGGTAGAACAATTGCATCACTATAAATAATCTAATGAAATAGTGAAAAACAAATTGTTGATCAATCATTGGAACAATTTACTCGCTTTGAATTATCTCATTTTCACTATAATTTTGTATTCTCGTAAACACATGTGTGCATATGATCTCTGGATATCATCAATGTCTTAACCATTTGGGCAAGAAAACCTGCTGCGGTAATCGCTCAACACTCATCTATCTACACTAAAAGTTATTACAGAAGCAACCGAAAAATAGGAACGATTTGTATATCACGGGCCATTTGTGAAAGTACATGCCACATTATTTCATTTTGTTTCCACCAATCTAAAATGTCAAAAGTCTTCAAAATCATCCATTGGTTGACTTTTTAAATAACGTTGTAGTTCAGAACTACTTGTACTTATACGTTATTTTTCTATTTTTTATTACTGAAAAAACACTTAATCTTTCATTTCGAGATGAGGCTGGTGTAGTATGTGTAGATGTATTTGTAGTTACAAGTCACTTATATTCTTCAAATAATTTTTCTATATTTTATCAAAATAGAGGCAAGTTGTTTATTAGCGAAAATACGTTCTAAAAATTCTTATAAACTATTTTTACAAGGATCAATTACGATGGCTAAATCTAATAGATGAGGAAATGGATTAAGATATTTATTAAATTTTCCCTTTTGTTGCAGTAATAATAGTTACATAAAATTCTTTACCCGTATAATTTGTAAAAAATTTCATTATTTTTACTAATATATGTAAAACAAAATGGTGAAGTATATATAAGAAAATAATCTTGTTGCAGTTTAAAAAATTAAAAACAAATCTTTATACAAGGTTACTTGGTGCCAATTCAATTCTGTGGGAGTTAGTACTCCTCCTATTGATATTTTTGTGAAGAACAAATCTATTACTTTTCTTTGTTTACAAATTGTCTTTAACATATTATACGTTGAATTCCACTTGCTGTCTACATCTAAAATTAATTTTTTAAATGGTACATCTTCTTGTTGACAAATTTTCCTGTATTCCGAAATTCGATTAGCAGAAGACATAATATGTATAGCTTATTTAACAATCAAGTTTAAAATATGAGTACAACAACGAACTTGAAATAAATCACCATCAACAAGTGGTAAATACATATGGGCTATAGTATTATTGTAATATGTTGCATTATCTAAATTAATGGTAAATATTTTATTTTGCAAAACCCACTTATATAATGCATTTCTTATTTCTACACCAAGAGAATGACGAGTGTATGGAAGTTCAACTAATCTAAATAAAATAATTCTTTATTTAATTTTCAATCATTATCAATAAAATGTACAGTGATACATTGATATTCTAAACTATTATTTGACCACAGATCAGATTTTAAACAAACTCTCCCATTCAAGTTTTTGAATATGTCAAATAATTCACTTTTAATGTCCTCACATTTCTTTAAAATCCTACCTTTAGTAGTATTTCTTGAAAAACCTTGATATTGCTATGCAAAATCTCCATGAATCATTTCTAAAAAATGGGGACATTCACTAGTAGTAAAATGTTGTTCTTTTTAATAATATAATCAATTACATAATATAATCAATTACATAATTCTGTGCACGTATAGGATCATATAAAAATATTTGCAAATGACTATTTGATGAATCTCTCAATAAAAATGTTTGCAAATGTTTGCATTTGACTATCAAGTTGTTGATTTTGTAAATGTTTGTTATAATACCTTTTTAGATGACTAGTACTCTATGCAGATGTATCACTAAGTAAATGTGAACAATATTTACATTTTGCTTTAATAGTAATTGTACCATCAGAATTATTTACAGATATTCTTTCGAAATGCTCCCAAATTTCAAGATGATGATCCAGTTGTTAGAAGATGGTTATTAGTTATATTAGAAGGAGAATCAACAGATTCATGTTGTGTAATATATGCATCAATACTGACATAAACATTAAGAATATTATGATCAATAGTAATGTAAGTAAAATAATATATAAGAACTAACAATTAATTTAAATAATGAGTAAACAATAACAACTAATATATGTTAAGAAATAATTAATGTAAAAAAATGAGTAACTAACAAATTTAATTCAAATAATTAAAGTTACCGACTAGTGAATGCAATATAAAAATTAGTTTCTTCTTACACAATTGCAATTGACACTTAGGTATGAGATTTCAAAATTAATTGAAAGAGTTGAGAGATTGAGAGAGAGATTGTTTGTGAGAAATAAAATAGGAGAGGGGTGGTATTTATAGGAGTTTGGGAGGAGTGGGGTTAATTTGCAAAAAGAAAATTTTGGGCCGTTGGGTGTGTAAACGGTCAAGTAAACAGTGAAATGACCAGTTGAATTGTTTTATTTTTATTTTTTGAATTTTGTTACAGGTTAGGCGCGCAGGAGTAGTTCGGGGGTGGGGTCAGGTTGAACTAGGCTCGCAAGGGGGGTGAAAATTTTTGGGCCGGGACGGGTCAAGCCGGGCTTCCAAATAGACAGCCTAGGCCCAAAGTCCCGGGCTTAGCCAGACCAGGTCCACTCGGGCCGCGAGCAGACTTTGGGCGGCCCATGGGTCATTTTAACACCTTTAGGTAAAACCTTAGTCTAATAATTTGGATGTTATAGGTTCAAGTCTCGGGACAATTATTTTGTATATTATGCCAAATGTTAGGTGTATACCTAATTTTTTCCCTCCTAAACACCCATTAATATGTAATAAGTTGGCGTTGTTTTTTTTCCTCTAATCTCCCTTATGCTGTGTTTGGTTGAGAGATTTGAGGAGAGATTTGAGAAAGAGAAGGAAAATGTAGGTGAAATGTGAATAAAATATACTTATATTTTATCCATTTTTATATACTTTTTTTCTTTTATCTTCAAATCCCTTCCCAAATTCTCAAATTTGTGATGTGATGACTATGTAATATCTTCTTCCAATTGTGACATCTGAATTCATGTTCCTTTCTATGGAGAGACATTTTACATGTTTTTGATTGGGGTGCTTGCATGAAGTCTGCTCATTTTGGAGCAAATGGTGCCAAAAAAAAAACAAAAAAAAGGTGGTCAATGCATACATAACAACTTAAAATGACTTAATAAATATTGGCTTAAAAATTGACTATTTTAATTTTTAACTATTTTAACAAATTAAAATTTTTATTTTTGAAAAAAAGATTGAATTTTTATGTAATTAGATTTAATATTTGTAAGAGAAAAAAATAAAATAATTATAAATTTAATGTAACATTTTATCTTATTAATTATTATACACCTTTTTTCTTTTATTTTCAAATCTTTTTCCAAATTCTCAAATTAGTGATGTGCATGACATGTAACATCTTCCAATTGTGACATCTGTATTCATGTTCCTTTCTATGGAGAGACATTTTACATGTTTTTGATTGGGTTGCTTGCATGAAGTATGCTCATTTTGGAGCAAATGGTGCTAAAAAAATAAAAAAAAAGGTGGTCAATGCATACATAACAACTTAAAATGACTTAATAAATATTGGCTTAAAATCGACTATTTTAATAAATTATTTTAATTTTTAACTATTTTAATAGATTAAAATTTTTATTTTTAAAAAGAAAATTGAAATTGAATTTTTATGTAATTAAATATAATATTTGTAAGAAAAAAAATAAAATAATTATAAATTTAATATAACATTTTATTTTATTAACTATTATACACTTTTTTTCTTTTATTTTCAAATCTCTTTCTAAATTCTCAAATTAGTGATGTGCATGACATATAACATCTTCCAATGTGACAACTGAATTCAAGTTCCATTTTAGGGAGCGACATTTTACATGTTTTTGATTTGCAAATGGGGCAAAAAAAAAACAAACAAAAAAGGTGGTGGTCAATGCATACATAACAACTTAAAATGACTTATGGGCAAAACCAACAATCTAACTGCTGAATTACGGACCTTTAGAGATGGCTTCAAATTGGCTCTTGACACGAATTGAAGATGAATTTGATGCTCTCATTTTTGTGCACATGGTATTAAATAATTGCAATGACCAACACCACCTTAGCAATGTTGTTCATGACTGCATGCAAGTTCCTCCTGTACAGCCTCATATCGCCAACAGTTAAACACATATTCAAGGAAGCAAATCAAAGTGCAGATGCGCTAACAAATTATAGGCTCCTTATGATGGATGAGAATTTTCATATTTTCTCTTACCCTCCATCTTCCTTTATA